CACCTCTCCAGGATCCAGATGCGATCCCGGGTGGACGGTCCCAGGAGGAGGCCTCAGCAGTCCTGCGGAAAGCACTTCCTCCTCGCCCGCGCCCCCCCAGCCACGGGGTGCGGCAGGCCGGGCCTCGGCCCCAGTGGGTTTACTCCACCCCGAGGCCGCACAGTTATCCCGATGGTCCTGTCTTCGCGATGCCGAGTGCTCACCAGATCACACGTCCTCACTTGGCGTCCACACTGCCCACCATCACCACCATCATTCACGGCACTCAGAGTCTCACGATGGCCAGAAAGACTCGGTCCCTCTGCTGGAGCAACTGCATCTGTGGCAACGGGGCTCCCGGTCCTGACTTATGGGCCGGGGGATCCCATGGTGCGGGGGGACAGCTGGTCTTGTATCAGCAGGAGGCAGGGTTTCCGGATCCATCCACTTCACTGGAACATTCTAACATTTGGAATGCCCCTTCTTGGAAATGTGAGTGTTACTTTCTTGAACAAACAGGGGCAAAGATGAAGCTTTGGTATTGTTGCCTTTTTGTGGCAAAATACTTTAAAATACAAGTTTCAATGTTTTTTTAATTACCGTTCGTTTGTTTTTTTTTTTAACTCTAGTTCTTTGGGGAGGAAAAGAACCCAAAACAAATGTCATTCTTGCTGGACTGAGTCCGAAAGGCACACTTTGAAGAAGCCAGTGTGGCGGGCAGGTTGGTCATCTTGTGAGGTCACCATCCTAGCCAGACTGGCACTGACGCCTCACCCGGGGACGCTGAGAGCGGGGGAGGTACACCCGCGCCACTCAGCTTGTCAGCCAGGACACAGCACAGTGCCTGGCTCTGGCGCCTTGGGGGCTGTAGACCCCGGAGTTTCCACCACAGCGGAGACGGCAAATATCCCCATCACTCTTTTCAGAAATGCATTCCTCCTGGTCAGCTCATACAGCTCCGAGTTTTGCGTGGAAAACACGGACCCCATCCCAGCGCTCAGTGCCTCTCCCTCACTCTGGGCTCGGAGGGATTCGAAGCTGACGGGTTCTCTCAGGTCTCGGGAGCAGAGTGGGAGGAACACAGAGGAGCTGCTTGCTGGGTGCCCTGCAGCTCCGTCAGTCACTCGATGGGGGGTTCATCCTCCCGCCGGGTCAGAACGGAGGGATTAATTTTATGTGTCAGTGTAGCTGGGCCACCCCAACCAGATGTTTGGTCCAGTGCTGGTCTAGATGTTGCTGAGAAGGTATGTTTTTAGATGGTATTCAGATTTAAATCAGAACTTGGAGGAAAGCAGATTACCCTCCATGATGTGGGTGGGCCTTGTCTAATCCGTCAAAGGCTCTCGTGGGAAAAACCTGTGGCACCTGAAGAGGGAGGAATTCTTCCTTCGGGTTAAGGCTGCAACATCATGGACTGTGCACGTGCGTACGTGTGTGTATTTACACTCACGTGTCTGCACACACACGACGTCCTGTGAGTTCCGTCTCTCCAGAGACCCCAACTAATTCCGTGACTCCTGGTTTCAAGGACTCGTAGAGAATGGTCCCAGGTGTACAAGCGTGTAAGCACGTGAACTACTTGTCCATGACGTCTCCCTTGTCATCTTATTCTTGGCACACTTTCCATGACCGTAAGATCGCATGTGTTTTTTCTCTGATTGGGAGTTTTGTTTTTGTTTCTGTTGGCGAGAAGGGGGTTACCGGGGGGGAGGGGTGGGAGCTCCCTAACACGGCCAAAGAAAGTCATAAAAACAGTGCCACAGGCCAGCTGTGGCCTCAGCAGCCTCCAGAGGCCCAGGATACATTTGGTTCCCATTCGGGACCACAGACTTTCTGGAGGCCACAGTGGAAATCACGGGCAACTTCCCTGAAGAAACCCACACTCCCACATGGGTCTCCTGGGCTGTTCGGGCCTCTGGAGAACATCCATTTGCCCTGAAACAAGAAGTCTCATTTCTGGGAGAGAGCTCTGCAGACCAGAACCTCAGTGAGACAAGGAGCAACCTCCAAGCAGCATGACCTCACTGAGAGCCAGCCGGCACTCCCGAACGCCCAGTACGCACTGGGGGCCAGCAGAAAGGACTGGGCAGCCTCAGGTCTGGAAGATGGGCTCACTGACTTGTGATGTGAGGGAGCCAGAGATTCTCAGCTCTCACACCCAGAAGATACTTCAGGACCGCCTGGTCTCCCGGGCCCTTGCCAGACGCTGACTTTGCACTAAGATGCACGAAGGCTCTGGGCAGTACCTTGCATCCCACCTGCAGTCTTCGGGTCTTTACACGCAGAGTGAGTGACCACATTCCCGGGACTGCCCGCAACCCTGCAAATGTCCTCTCGAGGTAGAGTAGGGCTGTGGGGTCTGTTGTCACACGAAAGGATGGGCAGGAGGAAGAAAGACACGAAGAGCTGAAAAATCACCCAAAGTAAAGCCTCTCAACATAGGCATGAGGTTCAAGAGCCCTGCGCTTCCCGGAGTAGCCAGCGGCAGACCCTGAATGCACATTACACGCTGGAGAAGTTTCCACAGACCAGGAGGGTCCGCAGCAGGAAGTGGGTATGGGAACAGACAGGAACCCAGAGACCTCGTCACTCCCCACGGTTGTCCCGCCGGCTCAATTCGGCCGTTTCATTCTTCCATTCCTCCAGAGGCCCACGTTCCCTTCTCCTAGAGCCCATTTTCTCACATCGCAATCTTGTCCAAGATGTTTAAAGACAGCAAATGGACCTGTCTACAAATCTACCCAGTTTGGGAAGGAAGGAAAGAAAGGGAAGGAGAGAGGCAAGCGAGGGGCGGGGCCGGGGAGGAAGAAAGAGAAAGAGCATCTAGAAAGATCTGTCTTAGGAAAACTGTTCTGCTTGTCTAAGTTCCCACTGCTCGTCTGGCTGCTGTCATTTCTGTCGTACACAGAACTCTCAACACCATCTTTAATCCTTCTTTCCTAGTGTTTAAAATGAATCCGGGTCAGGACAGAGGGGAAGAGGTCAATCCAGCTGTCGGGGCGGTGGGGGCGGGGGGACGTCAGCACATCGGCTGCCCCGGGAGAAGTCAGAGGTCCGCGGCTTCACACAAGACAACTTGGAATTACGAGCGGGGGCTTCGCACAGATCAGAGGGCATCCGTGGAGCCTCTTGGGTGCATTTCAAGCCCTCGGTCCTCCAGCTGGTGCCAGAAGCCTGACCATCAGCAGAGAGTGGAGGTAATCTCCAAACCCTCTCCTCCCTCCGGTCCTTCACTCCTCTGTCCCAGGCCCCCATCCCTAATGCAGTTGGCTTTCCTTTTTTCTTCTATAGCCACAGCTTGGGACTCGAACAAAGGCAAGACTCAACCCTGTGCTGACTGCCCTGAATTCTGGATACGCTGGTCAGATCACAACACCAGGAGGGTAGGAATCAGAAAGGACAAGCGTCCGGGGGATGGGGGCTGCGAGAAGAGGTGACCCTGATTGTTGTCTGAGAAGAGAAGCCGATCGGTGGCACCTCCCCCACCGCACAGCACTTTCTTCTTCCCGGCGAAGACGAGGCTGCGTCCTCCCGGCTGTGGGCTGACTGTGCTTACTGGAGCCCGAGTCGACACAACCTGGAGAGCGAACTCCACCATCTGCACCGGCTACATAATGTGGGGAGCCCACGATAAAATGCCAACGCGCAGTGTCTGGTGCAACAAGTGTTAAGAATTTCAAGACAGTGTTAAGCGGAGTGTGGCTCCTTCCGAGCCTGGGACCCTGAGCAAGGGTCAAGGTGGTTTCGTGGAGCCAGTCCTGCCTGCCAATCTGGCGTCACGGGGTCACTTTCCAGACCTACCCCAGATGTGCTTAGATCCTGTCACCTGATTTGAAAGCTGCTCGACCCCTCGGGGATACCCTCCTCAGCCCCTCACTCTGCAGGTGCTCCTGAAACAAGGTGGGTAAGTGAGCCCACCCAAGCTGTCACCCAGTGTGCTCAGAGGTTTGGGGGTGAAGGAAGACAAGGGGACCTGAATCAAGGTGGCTCCAAACACAGCAGCAGCCAAGTTGCCCTTCCCAGCGAAGGCTCTCCTGCACCACCAGCTCCTCCGTGAGAACCCCAAGGAAGGCACCAGCAGGAGTCCCGCCAGGTCCCAGGAGCACCCTAAGGAATGGAACGCGGAGACATCGGGTCCAAGCCCCAGAGTTTAGAGCTCGGTATGGCAAAGCCCAGAAGGCGGGTAACCAGAGCAAGGTCGGACCCTCTTTACTGTCAGTGAGGTGGCTGAGGTGATGGGTGCGCAGAGGGAGGGTCCCAGATGGCAGAAGTGAATGGGGGACACTGTCACACCCTCCCATGGCAGAGCACTCTCCACCCAGTGGCCTTGGAAGAAGGCTGGCTTTACAGCAAGGCCGACCCCAGGACTCCCGGTGGCACTGGCCTCGGTCCTACAGTAGGAGTAAGAACTCTTGGGGGCTGGAAGGGAGGAGGAGAGGTCATCTGGGGGAGAAGGCGGCAGTGGGCGGCAGTGGGCGATGGTCAGCCTGTGGCAGGACCAGCCGGCACTCCAGCCCCGGGAGGAAAGGAGCTTGGGCCCCGTGGAATTCCACCCTTCCTGGGAAGGTTCCACCAGGCTCTGCCGAGCTCACCCCTGCACTCTCTGGACAGCAGGCTACTTTCAAGGAATGTGAAACTCCTTGGAGCCTGGCCGGGTCGGGTTTGGCGGGGGGGCACTCATCCCCTGGGGCAGGAGATAACTTTCCTCCATCGAAGAAGGACTTCTCAGGTGTCTAATCCCTCTGGCCAGCTCATTTCTCTTGGCGGGAGGGCTCCCCCTTCCACTGGATCCGAAACTCTGAGATTGGGTTTCTCCCAGGCCAGGCCCTCAGAGGGGGTGGGAGACACAGCCCTGACCGGCAGACCAGGCCTGCGCTGGCAGGAGGCCCCAGCAAGAGCTCGAGGCTGTGCGAGGGTGGGCTCCAGGCTGACCCGGCAGGGATGGGATGAGGTCCTCTGGGACAGAGATGCAGGCCAGCCCTCCCAATCACTTCCCACCACCCAGGGCTGGGCTGACTCACTCAGGAGTGTTGATCCAGATGATGTCCAGGTGGCAGTAGTAGACACACTCCTTGTCCTTGTAGGTGAAGCACGTACAGCGCCTCGCGCGGCGGTGCACAGGACCCCCCTTGGATGCCTGCTCCCCAAACCGACCCGGTTTTTGCTCCTGCCCAGGGCGTCTGGGAATCAAACCCTGCACTGCAGTAGTGGCCACAATCTCCTCGATGTCCCCCTCAGATCTGGCTGCGGTGGGGGGCCCAGGCATGCCGCTCCTGCCGGCGTCCCCAGGCTGGGGACGAGGCACCAGTCCTGCAAAAGGCAGATGGAAGGGCTCCTAAGCTCCTGAGTGTGCGGAAACCCCCCACACCTACACCTACCATTCCCAAAAACCTGGGAGAAGGGGACAAGGAAACTTTCTGCAAAGATTGCAAGCTAGTTGCACTTTCTGTAAAGTCCCCAAACTCTGCCATGCGTTCTGAAAAGTTTGCAAAGCTATGTGCACAGTTTCAGAAAAGACTGCAAGTTATGTGCATACTTGGTGAAATGCTTGCAAGCTATTTTCACTTTCTGCAAAGTCTGCAAGGTATTTGCACCCGTTGAGAAATTTGCAATCATTTTTGCACAGTTTCTGAAGTTTGCAAACTTTTTTGAAAAGTTCCCAACTTCATGAAAAATTCACCAAGTCCACCCGGCCAGCCCCATCTCTGGCTTGACGGTGGACTGCAACCCCCAGAGCCCCCCGGGGTAGCTGGCACTCCGTTTCTGCCCCCCCCCCCGCCTCCGCCCGCCACCAGCCCACCCCTAGGCGCCTCCAGGGGTGGCGAGCCCAGGCAAGAGGTTGCTCCCCACAATGCACCCTTCCCCGCGCCCCCATCCCAGGGTCCTTTTGTGTGCGCTCGCGCCGGGAGCGGCGCGCCGCCCCGCCCGCTTACCTGCGGCGGAGGTCACTGTAAGCCCGAAGAGGAGCCACAGCCCCGGCTCCATGAACCCCGATCGGGCACCGGGCCGGGAGCACGGACGCCGGCGGCCGAGAAAGGGCGCTGGGCCCGGTACTGCGGCCTCGCCCTCCAGCTGCGGGGTCCGAGGCCGGCGCTCGCTCGCTGCGTCCCCGGCCCGGCCGGGAGTTGGCGGCGGCGGTCACACACTTGAGAGCGCGCTGCCCATCCCTGCGCAGGGCCGGCTGTGGGCTCGGGCTTTTCTGGCGCCCGCACCACCCCCTCGCCTCCCCGCCCCCCGGAGGGGCTGGGGCCGCCGCGCGGGGCCTTTGAACCCGGGGCGCGCCAGGGGTCGCCTCCCGGCGCTCGTGCTGGGGGAGCGGGGAGGCAGCTCAGCGGCCGGGGGCGCACTCAGCTGGCCAGGGGCGGGGGCAGCGCGCCAGAGGCGGTGGGTGCGGTGGGTGCAGTGGGGTGCGGTGGGAGGACAGCTGCCGGAAGGCCACGCGCGCGCATACACACACACACATACACACATGTGCACACGCACACGCGCGCTCACACACACCCCACTGCCTTGCAGCCTGGGACCTGCAGCTCCCGCCCCTGCGAGCGACAAAAGGCTGAACTGGGAAGCTGTTACCTTCTATCTCAGCAGCTGTGGGAAAGCAACATTTCTCAGTGTTCTCCTAATGACACCCTTGCACAGATGGTCCTGCCAAGGCCCTGGGTGTACTTTACACTCGTGACTCACGGGCACAGGCACTGGCTCCCTGCCTCTCCCAGGAGCTCAGAGCCAGTGGGTGTGGGCCCGTGGCAGGGGAGCAAAGTCAACCCAGAAAGAGGTTAGCGGTCTGGGCCACCCGGACTCGCTCACAGCCCCCTGCACAGGGTGGGGGCGGCCTTGAGAGGCCTCCTGGCATCCCCTCCATGGCCTTCAAGGTGGTCCAGGTGCCATGGGTGGAGGGCTCTCCCGGCTCACCTGAGTCTTGTCTGCTGCCCCAAGCAACATAGAAGACAAGGATTGTCTTATTTTGTTTTTACCAAGACGGTCTGTGCTGGGCCCCAAGGAAGCACTCTGGAAAGATTCATGGGTGAGAGGATGAATGAACCTGGGGATTTAGCCCTGAGCTGCTGACCTCTGAGAACCCCTGGAGGCCCCCCAGAGGGCCTCCCTTACCAGAGTCCTCAGATCAGAGGACAGACAAATACACAGAGGTGGTGCACCAGATGGCACTGGGCAGTGCCCGCAGGGCTGGTTGGAGGGCTCAGCCTGTGCTGGGTGGGAGCTGGCTTCCCCAGGGAACCACGGGCACCGCCAGGTCGTGTGGCAGCAGACAGGCCTGCAGCCCGGAGCTGCTCCACTCCCAGAGCCCTGGAGGTTGACTTCCCACATGTCCCCAGATCCATAGACTTCTCCCAGAGAAAGCAGCAGAAGTCATAAAAGGGCTACAACCTCCACCTGGCTCCCTCCGTGGGGACGCTGGTCCTCTGAGCCCAGCCGCCACGCTGGGAGGAAGCCCGGGGAGCCTGCATGCGGAGACCACACAGAGCGACCCACACAGAATCCAACGCTCCCAGCACTGGCCGGAGCCCGCTGCTGACACATAAATGCACAGGCCCGGGGGTGACTGGAGCCCCAGCCTCCCAGACTTGCCCCTGAGAACTGGGTGGCCCCCTAGGCTGACCCACAGAAACCACGAGGGCCACCGATGGAGATTTGCCCCAGTCAGTGCTGAGTAATTCGTTCCAACGCCATGCGAGGCAAAAAGGCAAACCCCCAGAACGGGGCTGATGGGGAAGTTTCTCCAGCCTGCCCCCCCCTTCCACCCTGCCCAGTCCTTGAGTCCAGGTCAAGGTGTGGGATGTGGAAGACATTATCCCTTAGGGTGACTGTCACCAAACAGGATGTAAGCTCTGTAAGGGGGCGCTGCTTCATTTTTTTGTGCTCCGTGCCTTGAAAATTAGAAAAAGCCCCAAGACTAGGATTATCTTCTGCTCCTGCTGGGCTGGAACTTGGATGACTTTATCATTAGCCCTTCCCTTAGAATTAAAATGCCCATCACCTACAAAATAAGATGTTTGGAACTGGGGGACGGCTGCAGAAAGAGAAAGTCCGCTCGCGGGCTAATGAGAGAAGGGGGGTAGAAGGCGGTTTTCGGGTGCTCCCAGACACAGGAGGCATCAGAGCTGCTCAGACCACTCACTGAGTCCCTTGCCCCCCACAACCTGGCCCAAACGCAGCACACTGGGTGGGCTCATCAGGAGGCCCACCACACTGCAAGAGACCAGACTGGCTCTGGCCCTCCCCTTAGAGTCTCCTAATCGAGTCAACAGCAGGAAGTCTGGGACAGAGAACCCAGGAGACAGGGTGCTGAGAGCAGAGCTGAGAAAAGAGGCCACAGTCAGCTGGATGGTCAGTGGGGGCAGAATCTTACCTGGTCTTCACCCGGGTCAGCAAGCTGAGCCCCATGACTGGAGCGGGTACTAGCCAGGACGTTCAACAACACTCGCTCTCCAGCGAGAAACTTCTCCACTTTTCTGCTCTTCCACAGTCCTGACCGCTCCCAGGATTGCTCCTGGGTCGGGAATGTCTGCAAGAATTCTCATACAACCTTCCTTTTCGCGCTGAGAGACAAGGCCGCAGGCTTGGAGGCCTCGGGCCAGCCACAGAATCCAAATAGGATTTCTTTCTTGCTCTCAATCTCTCTCTCCCTTTTTTTACATAGTGGTAAAATACGTATAACATCACATGTACCCTCTTAGCCATCTTCAGTGCCCAGGTCAGGAATGTTAAATATATCCACCCAGTCAGCAACCACCATTACGACCCCTCTCCGCAGACAGCCCTTTCATCCTATACAATTGAAACTCTGTCCCTATTAAACACTGACTCCCCGTTTCCCCCTCCCCACAGCGGGACAAGACTTTTGTGTCTGACTTATTTCACTTCGCATGATGTCCTCAAGGTTCATTCCTGTTGTAGCAGGTGTTACAACGTCCCCCATTGGAGAGCCCAATACTATTCCCTTGTAAGTATGGACCACATTTGGCTTATCCTCCATTCATGGACGCTGCATTGCTTCCATGTTTTAGCTGTTTCAAAGAATGTGGCTATGAACACGGCTGTGTGACTATCTCTTCCAGAGCCTTCTTTCAATCCTTTTGGGTTTACATCCACCCAGAAGGGGAGTTGTTGGATGACGTGGTAATTCTGTTTGATTTTTTGAGGAAACTCCATACTGTTCACCACAGAGCCGTCATTTTGCATTCCCGCCAACCAAGGTTCCTTTTTCTCCACATTCTCGCCAACATTTATTTTTTTAATTTTTTGATGGTAGTCATACTGATGAGTGTGAGGTGAGATGGTATTTCACTGTAGTTTTGACCGATGTTTCCCACATAGTTAATGATGTTGAGCATCTTTTCACGTGTTTATTGGCCTTTTGTATGTCTTTCTTGGAGAAATGTCTATTCAAGTTCTTTGCCTGGTATTAAATCTCGTTGTTCTTGTTGTAGTTGGGATTTCGTAAGATTGTTTCATTGTGTCTAATTTTATATTTATCTTTTATTTATGAAAATGGTACTGGTTTTCCATGTGTGGTGGTGAATAGAATTCCTCTCTAAATTAACTTAATAACTTTTTTATTAAAATGTTTTAAAGAGTAACCTGAATTAAAATATGAAGTAGTCATTGTAAAGGTAGTTTGGAGACTTGGCAAAAATCACAAGGTTGGTTGCCCATAACTGAAGTCTAGAAAGATCTCATGGGCAAGGAGGAGGGGCAAGAAGGAAGGGGGAGGGGAACAGAGGAGGAAGGACAGGGGGAGGAGGAGGAAGAGCAGAGTGTTTTGATGGCAAAATCGCTCAGATGGAGGACAGTGGACACGAGCAGAGAGAGCTGTTCCTTGCTTTGGGAAGGGGAAATCTCATCATTCTTGACAGTAGCTCTTAAAAGAATCTGTGGAAATGAATAAAACACATATGATACCTATTTTGACAACTTGAAGGTATAGAGGAACTTTGAAACTCAAAATCACAGGGAAAAGGGCCAACAGACAAGGAGGGTGCACCTCTCCCCATCATGGCGCTGCCTCGGGAAGTCCTAGGTCTTGCTCCCTGTGCTCTCGTGTTTTGATCCAACTGGTGGAGTGTGCAGAGGGAGGAAGGAGAACTTGAGAAATCAGGAGTGGTCTCAGTGCCCCCCTCCTATTTCTGTTGGATTGTTTGTCCACTTCAAGATGCACTGATTGACTCCTTAGCCATGACTTCTGAAGGACACTGTGGGAAGCACTGGTTATTTTTGCCCACCCAACATCTCCTCCCTGCCTTTTGGTCACAGCACTTTGGTTTTTCCTTGAGGACCGACCCTTCCTTTGTCTATGTGGTCAGTGGGTCTGGGACTCCAAGGTAGGCATGTGATTGAGATCTGGCCAATCCAAAGAGCCTGTCTGCTTGGCCCCTGGATCAGTTCAGGACTGGGCAAAGTTGGACAAATCAGTCAATCTCAGGACTTTTGCTAAAACACTTGAGAAAGAAATCTCTATTCACTGGGATTGTAGAGAAGAAAGGAAATGTACCTGAAGCTACTGGTAACCACCTTGCCATCATGAAGAAGGACCCTGCCTGAGGATGGACCCAGCATGGGGGAAAGTGGAGTCAAGAGCTAGAAAGAGTAGGTTGGTGTTCTGTTTTGAGCCCTGGATCCAACTGGGCCTGAAATCCATACTATCCCTACACTTTTCATTTGTAATAGCTCATAATTTCTTTTTGATTTAAGCTTTTTGGGGATTCTGTCCCTTTCAATGGGATAAAATTCTGTCTGGAACACTACCAGTCCTCCTGGGCTTCAGTCTATGCAATGTGTAAAGGAAACAGACAGTTCACATGATTTGATGGTGAGCTTATGGCGAGGGTTTTAATCATTGCTTTGCCCTTGTGACAACTCAAAAATCCGTGCTATCATTATCCCTATTTTCTAGACGAAGAAAGGTTAACACTTATAGAGGCTCAAAAAGGTTACAGTGACCGGTTCGTGGTCTCATAGTTATT